ACAACAGGTGTAAGGAAACATGCCCATTTCCTAACCCTCCGTCAATACTGCACCAGTGTCTTATCATGAAAGGGGAAGCGTTGCGTCGAGCACGGGATTGGAATTTTTATCCGGTAAGTGGTAAATCTATACACAATCCTGGATCAGAACGTCATGAGAGCATTAATCCCACTTGGATTTAACTGTCACCAGTATAGCCCAAACAGTCCGTCTATAACCTATCAACCTATTTATTCATAAGTCAAAAAAACTGGCACAGTGTAAGGAACCTAACGCATCACACCAAGCTCATGGAACTCTACACGAACGCCACACAGAAGCTACCAACTCTTCACCACGGGCTACAGTTTTATACCGAATAACGCTGAAATCTACAGGAGTCCTTCATCCCGAACACCCAACTTAGCTACCATTAAAACTCCCTTGAAATTAAATGTAACATTCCATTAAATCGTTTTTAGATTTCAAATACAGTGGCATAATCAATCACAATCTAGCCTTAATAGAAGACAGAACACAACAAAAGAAGTTAATCAGCCCTCAACCTTGAACAGGGTCACAACAAGCATCGTGGTGGGAGACACTTATTGAATACATTACTAGATGGCGAAACGCTACAAAAAGATATCCAGCCTGAACACTGCTACAATCACAATGTCGATTATCCCTTTCCTTGCAAACCACACAACACAGGTCACAATACTAGCTATCAACACGTCTAACCCACACAACATTGGCAGCAACGCTAAATTCACCCAAACATCGCATCACGGAAGTAAATGCCTCCTGCACTGGGTATAATTTCGGAATGAAGATTTATTTTTTCAGTACTTATCTCCATGGTTAAATGCTAGGAGGCCTTAATAAAGTCTTCAATTAATCTATAAACTGGAGAATTTGCGATGTTTCGCCCATGATGAATCACTATCAAATCGCAAACGTTTGTTGTGAATCATTCCATCCACATATTATGGTAGTTTGAATCATTCATTCACATTATTCAGTTATTATATTGTTTTAGCCATGATATTGATTTAGCATGTTGCGAATGTAATGGTTCACAGGTTCTGAGCCAAGGTGTGGTTCGCTTTCACTGGCAACGCGAGGTGGGTTCGATTCAGTTTCCAAAAACTGGACGTTGTTACTTTCCACCTTAAAATAATGGTGCCGCAATAATAATGGGTCCTGGTAAATAATAGGGGGCGTGGTAAATATAGGGGATGGTAGAAGCCTAAGGAGGCCTGGTCACATGACCGGGCCGCGGGGGCGTTGAACCCGAACTCTCTCCAGATGGTATCGTGGATTCTGAATTTTTCCAGCCAAGGTGTCGTGGGTTGTGAATTGTTCATGGCAAGGTATCGTAGGGTTGTCATTTTTTCCCACACACGGTATTGAGAGTATCATTCAAATAATAGGAGCGTGGTAAATAATAGGGGCGTGGTAAATAATAGGGGCGTGGTAAATAATAGGGGAGTGGTAAATAATAGGGGCGTGGTAAATAATAGGGGAGTGGTAAATAATAGGGGCGTGGTAAATAAAGATATGCAACATATAAATTTTGTACCAAATACTGAAATCAGAATAGCTTCAATTGTTATTATATTTAGGGGTAAGCCTTCAAACAATATTGGTCATACAAACCATGAAGGGGAGGCAATACGGTTCGATCCCAGGGAAGGACAGGTTTGGGAATCTTGTGGAAATATGTTTCACCAGCCAGTGGCTTCTTCGGTCCAATACAGAAAAGTCACTGGCTGGCGAAACGTTTCCTCAATAAAGATTCCCAAATATTGCACAACTGTCCATTATTCAACTTGGTTTTCTAAACTATTTACATTACACAGGTTCGATTTTCAACATTGTGATCTCCTTGTTGAAAATGGTATAAAATATCGACAAGTTGAAGATTAAGACATGTGCAACAGTTGGGTATCTTTATTGTTGAAACGTTTCGCCTACACAGTGGACTTCTTCAGTCAAATGTAAAGGGAGTAGTAGTAATGAAATAAAGATGATATAATCAGTCCGTCAACCTTGGAGAAAAAGTATTTGAGGTGGTCAATCCGCCAGTTCCAAGGTCTGGAACGATACTGTTCCAGACTATGGAGCTGAACTCTTCTCCAGGCTGAGGGAATGACCACTTCAAATACTTTTCTCCAATGTTGATGGACTGATACATCTTTATTTCATTACTACTACTCCCTTTGTATTTCAAGAAGCCTACTGGGTATAAGAAACGTTTCATCAATAAAGATAGCCAACTGCTGTACATGTGTCTATGTTCTTCATGAGCTAACCGAATCGAGGCGCACCCCTGGGGAATCTCGAAGAGCCTGTGTACGCAGCTTCAATTTTAAAGATGTGTTTCCTAGCTACTCACTGTCTGCCGTTTTTACAAGCTTTGTGATCAATACTGTTTAACTTCTAGATCAATGAGGGAGCACATATACTAGTTAATTAGGAACAAGATCCTATCCGCTAAGGGTCACCTAGTTACCAGTCAGCAAGTATACGAAGCCTGAATAAAATAATATAAAAATAATATATGATACACACGTGTGTATATTTCTAGTGAGGTAATGTATATTTGACTCTCGGGAATGTCCGGTTTATAAACATTAATATTCAATAATGTTAAGTATGTGTACGTTTACGTTACCCACAGGACCCCCCTACAACTGCACTGTAGCTTCACCTGTTTAGCTTTTGGGCAGTATAGGTTCCAACTGCAGCTTCACCCGTGTACCTTTTGAGCAGTATAGGTGCCAACTGCAGCTTCACCTGTGTAGCTTTTGGGCAGTATAGGTGCCAACCGCAGCTTCACTGTGTAGCTTGCAGTATAGGTGCCAACTGCAGCTTCACCTGTGTAGCTTTTGGGTAATATAGGTGCCAACTGCAGCTTCACCTGTGTAGCTTTTGGGTAATATAGGTGCCAACTGCAGCTTCACCTGTGTAGCTGCTAAGATGCTATTTTTGATGTTCTGTGATTGACTTCAAATCTTCAATGGTGACATTTTACTGCACTGGATTATTATAATCATGGGGGAGCGCTAAACCCGTAGATTTATACAACGCCTGTAGGGGGTGGGGATGGAAGGTGTTCAGGCTCAATTCAGGAAACTGGAGCACATATCCAATTCCCTAGATCAAAAGCCCCTCACCAGCGTCAAGGAACCTCCCCCGAGAGTTACTGCACTGGAAACTTTAGTATGCACAGAGGTGGAGGGAACTGAGCTTGTCCAATACCTGGGATAACTTTCTCAGATACACCGAAATACATCGAAATGTTGTAGCTATGAGAAGCGCTAAATCCGACAGAGGTTATACGATGTCTCTATAATGGGAGACAATAAGGTTTATTCCAAGGCGAGGGAAGCTACAATTCCTTAGATCAAGAGCCCTTTACGAGCATGAAGGCACCTCCTTGAAGGAGTATTATATTCATTGGGCAGCACTACCCCCTATCTGTTTAGCGCTCTGCATACATGGTAGTGGATGAAGCTCCATTTGCCAGCATAAAAAAAAACACCTTTCCTTTCATTGAATTAAGGGTTAAAGGGGTTATGCATTTGACTACGCCAATATTTTTGTCAAACTTAATACATCAGTAGTCCACAACACCGACGAGTTGATGAATTAGATATGTGCAACACTTGAGTTTCTATTTTGTAGCCGTATCGCCAACCAGTGGTTTTACCAAGAGCACAGACACACATGGAAGACCATGGAAGAAGATGAGGTAATCACTCCCTCAGCCTAGCAGCACTGACCGCTTGCCTCTTGGCTCAGGCAATGAATACTTCATTTTCTACTTTCTCTTGTATATGTCAGTGTATTGTATTGATAATGCCACTGGTTGGCGATACGTCCAGAAAACAGCGATACCCAGATGTGGCACACGAGTTTGCTTCATTAACTTAGTATAGCTTGGCTGCAGTCGCCTGACATATGGAAGCTTGACGGAAGCTAACAGACTGCTTGAAGTATAGAAACGTAGCAGTGAGCTTTTTTCAAAACTTTTCGCCTTGAGGGCATTTATCAATTATAAGAAATGCGAAGACTCTGCATTACCTGAAATGTGTTGCAGCAGAAAGGTGCAATTAGGTGACGTTAATATGATCACTCACCTAGGGTTCCTTATCAGAGAAATAGGTGGCAAACTTCCCCGCCTTGGCTAAAACCTGATTACCTCCCATTCTTCATGTTCCGTATGACCTCTACGGGTTTAGTGTAACACCGCCACTGTAATAATGTTTTGCAGGAGAGGCCAGAGCACGGACCCATGGAGCTTAACAAAAACATACCAAACTAAGAACAACTTGTGCAAGTTTTCACGAGCTGCTGAACACCCTGGGTAGTGAGGATGAACACCATGACCAGTGCACGAGGGTGAACACCATGGCTAGTGCATGAGGGTGAACACCATGACCAGTGCACGAGGGTGAACACCATGGCCAGTGCACGAGGGTGAACACCATGGCCAGTGCACGAGGGTGAACACCATGGCCAGTGCACGAGGGTGAACACCATGGCCAGTGCACGAGGGTGAACACCATGGCCAGTGCATGAGGGTGAACACCATGGCCAGTGCACGAGGGTGAACGCCATAGCCAGTGCACGAGGGTGAACACCATGACCAGTGCACGAGGGTGAACACCATGGCTAGTGCATGAGGGTGAACACCATGACCAGTGCACGAGGGTGAACACCATGGCCAGTGCACGAGGGTGAACACCATGGCCAGTGCACGAGGGTGAACACCATGGCCAGTGCACGAGGGTGAACACCATGGCCAGTGCACGAGGGTGAACACCATGGCCAGTGCACGAGGGTGAACACCATGGCCAGTGCACGAGGGTGAACGCCATAGCCAGTGCACGAGGGTGAACACCATGGCCAGTGCACGAGTGAGGGTGAACACCATGTGCACAAGAATGAACACCAGGACCAATGGACGAGTGAGTGAACACCAAACAAGTCTCCATCATAACGGTACTTACATCCTCAGATGGAATATCGTAGCACTCTGCGATCTTTTGGTAAAGTTCCTTGACATTTGTGAAGCCGGAGAAATGCCATGTGGGTGAAACCATGAGCTTAGTTGAGCAGGGAAGATAGCTGGGGGTGTTAACCAGTGCCTCACTGGGGGGTGACCCTTTGTGGCAAGAGACCCTAGGGACCATGGACGTGAGGATCACACCCCCTTTCATCCGATGTTCGTACCATCCTCACGTTTCTAGGTCTTGACATTGTGGCAGATAATGAGGGACACGATATGTGTTTAGCATGAACTGTTGGCAACAGGCTCTCCTGGGCGCCACTGCCTTGCGCGGAGAGGCGAACCCAACCGCGGCTAATACATTATAGGTGAACAGAGCTTGATGAGGACAATCACTTCGTGGCCACACTATGGACGTTGCGCTCGGCCACTATTCTGCAGTACGGATTAGTTCATTACCCGTATAACAGTTTCAACTAGGACCTAGCAACACTAACCTATCATGTCACATTACTTAACGTTGCTCACACTATATCCTCATTCGAAGTGTCATATTACTCCCATTTCGATAGCAGTTCACTGACCGATGCAAACCTATCATGACAATTATCTTTTGACACAATGACCGTATTTTAGGTGGTGATGACGTATGCATTTGCGGAAGTGAGACCGTCTCCCATGCGCAGATATACATGGTAAATTATCCTGAAAACACATTATATTCTCAAGTGTAGTACTATATCTCGGATAGCACTCTTCCTTGGCTATAAACAATCAACGTTATTACAATATTAAAATTTCATATCTTTTCTAAATATTGCGCTAGTATATCAGTTTCTCAGTTTGCTAAATATATAAGATGTAAATTAATATTATTATTTTATTATTTTATTAATATTATTATTATATTATTTTTATGTTTAATGAAGATAACGAGTGGTGAGTTAGTCAGTCTGGCGCAGCTAGATATTCCAGTTATTCATTCTGTGATTATTACATTGTTATCATTTGTGTTATAGATCGGTGTTGTAACATCTGTTGTTATCACGTCTGGTATTATTACGCCTGGTGTTATCACGTCTGGTGTTATTAAGTTGGTTATCTTATCTGGTGTTATCATGTTGCTTACGTCTGGTGTTATTACAGTGGTCATCATGTCTGGTGTTGTAACATCTGTTGTTATCACATCTGGTGTTGTAACATCTGGTGTTATCACGTCTGGTATTATTACGTCTGGTGTTATCACGTCTGGTGTTATTAAGTTGGTTATCACATCTGGTGTTATGTTGGTTACGTCTGGTGTTATTACAGTGGTCATCACGTCTGGTGTTATTACAGTGGCCATCACGTCTGGTGTTATTACAGTGGCCATCACGTCTGGTGTTATTACAGTGGCCATCACGTCTGGTGTTATTACAGTGGTCATCACGTCTGGTGTTATTACAGTGGTCATCACGTCTGGTGTTATTACAGTGGTCATCACGTCTGGTGTTATTACAGTGGTCATCACGTCTGTGTTATTACAGTGGTCATCACGTCTGGTGTTATTACAGTGGTCATCACGTCTGGTGTTATTACAGTGGTCATCACGTCTCCTGTTATAACATCTGGTGTTATCACGTCTGGTGTTGTAATATGTTATCACATCTGGTGTTATCACGTCTGGTGTTGTAACATGTTGTTATCACGTCTGGTGTTGTAACATCTGTTGTTATTACGTCTGGTGTTGTAACATCTGGTGTTATCACATCTGATGTTATCAAATGATTGTGAGCGTCGCCTTCCCTGTTCAACCTCTATTTGCCCTCAATAAATATTGAGATAGAGCAGAGGTCGCTTAAAAGCCTTGAACATAACAAATCTATAGCTGAAGTTTGGCTAAACGGAAAATTGTTATTTAGCTCACTCGTAAGACGCATGTGCAACACCTAAGTATCTTTATCGTCGAAACATTTCGACAATAAAAATACCTATGTGCTACACATGTATCTTACTCATCCACATGTCGGTATTTTATACCACTAGTTGAAAATATAAGTTAAAAATGTCAGTAAAGAATAAAAAAAATGACGTTACCGTGCCTGTAACAATATGCAACCCGCACTAAGGAGAAGGGAAATTAATGATAACATTTCGGTCTAATTTGGACCATTCACAAGTCACACTGAAGCGAGAAGGGAAGAATATATCTGTAACATTAAAATATTGTGTAAGAAGGAACCTATCTCAACAGCAATTTCTGTGAAATATCTGGGAATATCCTTTCATGCTTGTCAGGCAAATTAATACTGAACAGTGTAGTAAAAAAAGAGGGCAAATGCCATGTTAAAGTTCCTATGTATATAGGCACAGTGCCTACCAGCTGTGACAGTCAAGACCCAGTGTATAGTTCTTATACGATACAGTGTGCATTACTCTCGTTCCTCGTGGTACTCAGTCCTCACAAAAAAGTGACCAACAGATTAGAAACTATCCCAAATAAGATGGTGAGACTAATGGTGGGCCTGGATCTAAGAAATCACTGATGAACTGTAGAAAAGAGACATGTTACATGTGGAAGATAGAGTGAAGCAACTGAAACTAAATCATGTATTCAAATTTGCTAACAACCTGTGTCCAGAGTATCTTCTGACTTTGGTGTAAAAGGCACAGTTACCGAGAGCAACTTTACTGAGACGTCTCAGTAAAGTTGCTCTTTGTAACTGTGTCTTCTTCCCACTTGTTAACTTTGCGTTATTTGTCTGATGCTTCAGATTTCGAAAAAAAGTTAGCAATCAAGACCATTCTTGTGCTTGGGGGAGTGATCACAGTTTTGTAATATACTTCCATTACTTACTGATAAAGATCAGTGTTCTATTGAAAGATTCTGTGATGATTGGTTGCAGCATTGGGCCTGATATATGCAAGTACAACGGTTCAAAACCCGGCCTTTCTTCTGTTTAATCATCAACAGTTGATTATTTCAAACTATCTTTAGTTGATTTTGTCAAATGAGTGTTCTGAGTAGAAAGACACTTGATGGAGAAAAAACCTTTATTATAATTCAAAGTTTATTCTCTATAAGGATTACAATGCTGAGTTTACAGAAATTTGGTTATTGTTTGGTTTAACATGTAGTAAAATTGAGATTACAGAGTGTACCACTAGAACGCTTAGCATGGCTAGGCATTTCGGGCATACTTTGTTTTATTCTAAATGTAAATTTACAAATTATGAGGTAAGTTGGTATTATGGCTAATGCTAATACATTTGTGAGTTTAGCAGTGTGAATGCTTTTGTTTTGGCACAGTATATAGTTCAGTATTGGAGTATCACAGGATTCATTATATAAGCTGAGATAATATTTCTGTTTATGGTCAAATGAGTGTGCGAGTGTAAGTGTGAACCACCAGGTGGTTATTCGTGAGTTAGTTGAGGGGTGTATCAGGGAGATAGATTTTTCAATGGTAGTTTTGAAGGTGATGATGTGTCTGCATTCTAGAGTTCTCAGGTAGGGTATTCCAGATTTTGGGCTTTGACATACATTGAATTTTTGTAAAGGTTTAGTCGGACACGGGGAATGTCGTAGAGATGTTTGTTTCTGGTGTTATGCCTGTGGGTTCTGTCACAACTATCAAGAAAGCGTTTAAGGTCAAGGTTGATATTAGAGTTTAAGGCCCTGTAGATATAGATTGCACAGTAGTAAGTGTGGATGTACTGAACTGGGAGTAAGTTTAGATCTTTGAAGAGTGGGGGGGGGGGTGTGCTGCCAGGGAGAGGATCCCAACAGGCAATGTTTTTCCCATACTGAATTTTATCAAGTCATGACTTTGAGACTCACTGCTTGGCTAGGACAACCCCTCAAGGCAATTTCCTTGACGGTGGTGAGGGGGCTGTTAATCCAAAGAATTAAGTAAATAAGAAAGTTTATTCAGGTACAAATACACATAAATACAATTACATAAATTATCATATACAGCAGCATGTGTAGATTATCTAAGATAACTCAAAAAAAAGTCAGTGACTTAGTTTAGTTTGGGTTCTTGTTATTGACCTCGCCTTCCTGGACTGGAATAAACCCAAATGTCCCCTCATTTTTCCTGGCGTTGTATGATCCTAGTAGGATTTAATAATAATAATAATTTGCTATGGAGACTTCAGTAAGACAAAAATTTCATGGTTCCGATTAACCATGAATATTGAAGACAGAGTAAAACAACTGGAGTTAAATCATGTTTATAAAATTGCTCACAAATAGTGTCCAGAATATCTTGCTGCTAATTTTGTCAAGACTGGGAACCAAAACAACCATACTACTAGAGGGAGAGAGCACAACTTTGTAGTACCCACAGTCAGTGGCCAGGCTTCAAACCCCTTTTATTACACAGCAATAAAGGAATGGAACAGACTGCCCGCACATTTTAAAGCCAGTCATATGAGCCAGTTCAAGAAGAGAGCCTAAAGGTACTTAATGAATGTAGCGACAGAAAGGGAGGAGTTTATTTTTTATTTTTTTAGCTAACATACATGTAAATGTGAATAACTCTTTTATTATTATTAAAGATTAGCCGGTATTCTCCCGGCCCGGGCCTTTTCCAAGTGGTGGCCCGGCCTTGGCTCCCTCTTTCGGGAGTGTCTGAGACCTAAGTCTCCCATGGGAGGAGGCACAAGTACCTCCTCATCTTTGGGACCAATTGTCCCCAGGCCTAGCCACAAGCTAGGCCTCTCTGGTCTGCCATCCCCGCCCCAAGGGGGCTAATGGGAATGACAGTCTTATGAGCTAAAGGCTCGGGCTCAGGCACCTACCCTACCCTAGAAGGGTTAGGCATGGTATCGATCTTGTCGGAATAACTCTTTTTACCATATTCCTAGTATATATCCTTTATAGTATAATAATAAGATATCTCCTACATTGTATAAAGATAAGGTGCTAAAAGAACCCAAATGGAAATAAGTCACTCTGACTTTTTTGGGTTATCCCAGGTTCTCTACACATATGCTGTTATGTATGATAATCTATGTAACTATATTTGTGTATACCTGAATAAACTTACTAACGTATAAGGTTATAAAATTATTTCAGTTTCACCTAAACATTTTCTATGACAATTCTGC